AAGATACACTTTAAGCACAAACTGTTTCCACATTTTGGCTAATGTAGCTGCCAGGTGTAACGTTACCCCTGAAGTGTAACGCCTATTTTTAGTAATCCTACTTTTACTTGAGCAGATACGTAGAGTGACGTTGAGAAAACATTTTGAATCAACACAGTTGATTTGCTTGTGTCCTCAGGGTCCTGGATATCCCTCTGGCCCGTACTCGCACTACAGTGAAGGTGGGCATGCAGTGCCTCCAAATCCCCCCTACCCCACAGGCCAGCCTCTGCACCCAAGCTCTCAAGCAGAGGCTTGGGGGCACACTGGTCCGTACGCTCCCCCACAGCAGCAGTGGCAACATGGGCAGCAGCCTCCGCAAAATCACTTTGCTACTACCGTTCGTCCGACGCATCCTCCAGCGTGGCCCGGAACTGGAACTGGTGCTCCACCGCCCTATCAGCCCAAGGTAAAGAAATTGCAACATTTTTTTATTTTGTTCTGTTTTGTTTATGAGCCTGGACTAAAACTGAAACATTATATTATTTCATATCATTGTAGGATCCGCAGCACCAGCGTGCCCCTCAGCCAGGACCTAAACCCAGGCCAGCACTGTCTCCGAATCCCCCCAATGGAAAGCCTGCTGAGATAAGCTCACCTCCCCAAATTTACAACAAGAACGGGAGAGGTGATCCTGTTCCTCCGCAGGCTGAGACCCCACCAGCTTCGGCTCAGGCTGGACCTCAGCCCCTGAGCGACAATCCCGGCCTTGCTAAGGTCCAGCAGGTTCTGACCAGAGTTCAGCTGCTTCAGGAGGATGTTGACGAGTTTGTTGGCAGAAAAACAGACAAGAGTTACCGGTGTCTGGAGGAACTTTTGACCAAAGAGCTGCTGGAGCTGGACTCCGTGGAGACTCAGGGACAAGAAAATGTACGGCAAGCCCGGAAAGAGGCCGTACAAAGAATCCAGGCCATTCTAGACCAGTTAGAGAGAAAAGCCTTCTGAAAACAGGACTTGGTGGATCTTCCTGTGGGCCACCAAGTCTCGTTTGCTTCATTCAGATCTTCCGTGGATTAATGGAAGGTCTAGTCTGATTCTTCAGAGATATACAGTATATATATTTTTTTTCCCTCCACCACAATATTATAAAATACTTCACTTAAGTGACATGACCCTGAGAACAAGGCGGAGCACTTATTCTGAGTTGGAAACATTTAAACAGGAAAAGATGTTTGTGTATTTATCACACATAACGTTCAGCCTCTGTGAGTGACTGTGCTGGATACACAACCTGAGACTCTTGCACATCTTATCTTTTGTGTCCTGTCTGTACCAGCAGGGTGTAACTGGAAAATGACAGATTTGGTGCCACGTTGCAGCAGTTTGTGGTCTTAACTCGTGATTCATGTTCAAGACTGCCCCCTCAGGATTGTGGCTCCGTTTTAGTCTGATCCTACTTGTAGTTTCGACACGTGCACTTCCTCGGCTGTCTACTGTGACATCTCAGTCTATTTGCATGATCATATCGTTGTCTTTCTTCCTGTGACGGATTCAGTATGGCCGCCCACAGTTCCAATTTGCCCTCCTATATTTTATTTTGTTTTTGTTGCAGCGGTGTGTTTTCTGTTGTGCTCCCAGCCTTGCATGCACTGTAACGTCAGAAGAGCACTCTATCATAACATTTCAGAGCCAATTAACGAGGCCGCAGTTGTAGCAAATTAGCAAAAAAAAAAAAAAAAAACTAAAGATAGCTGTCCTATTATTATTCCATCTTTCTGATGAAACTGTCTCCAAAGCGCAGACGTAGAATCAGAGCTACATATGAATGCCATGTATTTAACCCCACATAGAAACTGTTACTGCAGCTAGGTAAACAAGGTAACTTAAAAAGTCGCTTTTTTTCTCTTTCATTGAACACTTGTATAAAGAAAAGGATGAAGCTTTAACATTTTCCATAAGGTTTTAAGCTTAAAGACACTGGTTTTCGTAGTAGTTTTGAGAAAATATTAATTTTCATCTTGGCTTTGGCTTTTCCAGGTCAAAAATTCTCGTCGTATCCAAAACAAATGTGCACCACAGTCCTTTGTCTTGTGTACAGTGAGTTTTTTTTTTTTTTTCAAACATTCTTGTGTTGGTATAGGAAAAAAGTGCCACATTTAAGATGGTATAGTTTATACATTTAGAAACAAAAACTATATAAAAAAAGTTTGCATGACAATTCTCTTCTGTGTTGTCTTTCTTTTAGGTTCAGCTGTAATGCATGTTTCCAACACAAGGTGGAAATCTTTGCCTGATAAACTTGGACGTTATTACATTTGAAGGGAAAATGAATAATTAAATGTCAGCTATTTTTTAAATCTGTTATCAATTGGAAGTTTGTCCTCACTGTTTATGTTTAATTAAAAAAAGTTTAAAATGGATTACTCAACATGAGAAACCCTATTTTGCTATTTAAAATCGATTTTTTTATTTTATTTTTTTATCAAGAGGAAACCTGCCCAACGATACCATCAGTTCACATCTTTAAATAGACTGCTATTTTAAAGTAAAGTAAAACACGTGCCCCCTGAAGGCTTGAGGCAGGCAGGCTTGGTTTGTTTAGGGGTCAAATGTCCTGACAACACTTGGGACATGTAGTGTCAGGGGTGAGTAAATCACAGGGAAAGAGGGTCGAAATCAAAGCTGTTCAGTTTGACACAGTGGGTGCAGAAGAAATACATGATGGTAACTTTCAGGTTTCTTTAAGGTCTGAAGCTGTAACCTTTGCTGTTTAAGCAGAAAAGACGTATTCTCACATCCCAGGTCTACCTGAAATAAGAAGAGGAAATAAAAACAATGTCATACACATCGAAACTTCCCGCCTCCTGGAACGACGAGCGACCACATCGGAAAGTGGAAATCGACCTGAGCTCACCTGGACTGGCCGTGTTTGAGTTGGAAAAACTTTTGTTCACAGGCAAAGCCATCGTCAGCCACGCAGACGAAGTGTGGCCGAGGCTTTACATCGGTGACCAGTAAGCAACTAACTCTTAACCTTTGAGCAAGGGCGTAACTTTAGGTCTACCATTGTGGTGGGGTCTGCCCTCAGCCTATTTATTTATTTATTTATTTATTTATTTATTTAATTAATCATTTACTTTTGTGAAATGGAAATATTTTGGGGTTAAAATACATTTTAATGCATTTACTTTGAATTACTTAACTTTCCTGTTTTTTATTTGTATTTACACTGTTTCTCTTCCACGTCAGTTTAATTATTAGGAAAAGGAAAATGCTTACTTTCCCCCATTTTTTCCAATAGTATCAAATATTTAACATTTTTACGATGTATTAAACAACATACCTAAACTTCTCAATTTTCCAAATGTATGTACTTACCTGATGCACTATTAGCTAGAAAAAATGACTACATGGTTCAACAAATACAGCCGTGATGTGACAAGAGCAGACTAAAGCCCTGCACGTCATTTTCAGCAATTACGCTTAAACGCACAAATATGACATCGTAAATTTTGAAATCGTGGCAACGTTACCTAAAGGTAGCAAGAGAGTTGCAGCTGTGTACTTAACCAGTTAATTTCTAAGAAAATTATGTAGTTTTATTGGGGGGGGGGGGGGGGGGRTTGACTGGATCAAATTGTTGTGGGGGTCATAACCCCCCTAACCTACCCGCAAACTCTGCCCATGCCTTTGAGTGAAACTTCATTGACTGAGTAGAAAACGGTGATCTGAACCCACTTTTAGCCACATCTATATTTAGCCATGTATTTACTTTTTCAAGCCATTTATAAATTTCTACATTTATTTCCCATTATGAAAGGTTCGGTACTCCATACATCAATGAGTAAGAACTGGATGCAGTAAATCCGATCTAAAACTGAAAAGAGTAACAGGAGTTCTCCGGCTGCATTCTCCTTTGGGAACCTACGTAAACTACAGCTCTGCTATGTGGGAGCTTCTAATTCTGCCACGGCATGAAAGCATATCTTTGGTCTCTTATGTTTCCTGACTCTCATGCTTTAAATGTTTTAAATCAGTCACTAAAGAAAACGTTGCATGATACGGAACAGTGCATTTAAACCATGTTTGAAAAAATAACATCTTTTTTTTTTAATTCTAGGGTTTTAGGTTTTTAAAAGATTCAAATCTCAAGTGTAGAAAACCTCAACAGCACTGTCATTAACAACGATAGAAGTTTGTCCCATGATTTAATAGCTTGTAGAACCTCCTGCAAAAATATCACTGTAGTTTTTATGTGACTTTATCAGCCTCTCATAGTTATGGCCCATTCTTTATACTGTGTATGCAGGAATTTGCTTCAGCACAACTGGACTCTGGACTCTGACTGCACCATTGCAACACCTTGATTTTTAATTCTAGCTATATTTGGGATTATTGTCTAGTTGCATCATGAGCCCATTTGTTCCAAGCTTTAGCTGTTGAACAGATGACTTCCCATTTGTCTTTAGGATACTTTGGTTTCCTGATGAGTTCATGGTCGACTCAATTACTTACATGTGTCCTGTTGCAAATCATCACCCCTCAACAGTTACTACAAGATGCATTATGGGTGAACATTTGTACTTTGGTCTCATCTGAAAGGACATGGTTTCAGAAGTCTTGCGGTTCTTTCAGATGAAACTTTTCAAACCTGAGTCGTGTTGCAAAGTTCTTTTAGAGAGTAGAGTTTTCCTCCTGGCTGCTCTTCCAAACAAATTGATCAGTCTTCTTCCTGAGGCCTGTAGTGTCTGAGATGGAGCTTATGGGCTTTTAGCTAATTGTCTGAGCAGTGCACAGTCTGACCTCGAGGTGAATTTCAGTTGTTTGGGGATTATCTTTAATCCTTGTGCATATTGATGTCTTTCCTTAGGGTTTTGTTAATGCACACCTTTGTGTCCCAGATATTTTTAATAATAAACTCTGACATGTAAAACCAATTCAATTCAATTCAATTCAGTTTATTTATATAGCGCCAAGTCACAACATACGTTGTCTCAGGGCACTGTACATAAAAAAGAATAATCTAAAGAAGAAACCAGAAGGCTGCGTTGAATCACTTCATCACAGTCTCCCATCCTGAGCAAACGGTGGAGAGGAAAAACTCCCTGCTAATCAGGAAGAAACCTCCAGCAGAACCAGGCTCAGGACAGGTGGCCATCTGCCTCGACCGGCTGGTTGAGGGACAGGAAAGAGACACAGGTAAACACAGAAGAACTGGTCCAGGTGCACCTTCTTCTGAAAAAGAGACAACAAGAAAAAACAGGTTATTGATAGAAATAATTACAACAAACATGTAGAGAAAAGAGACTAAAGACAACAGCAGAGTGAGGAAATGTGCTCAGTTTGTGCTCCAGCAGTCTAAGCCTATAGCAGCAGAAATGAAGAATGTAATTCAGGAAACCTAAGTCTAACCATTGGATATATTAAAAAGGAAAGTCTTCAGTCTAATCTTAAAAGTAAACAGAGTGTCAGCCTCACAGACAGAAACTGGAAGTTGGTTCCACAAGAGAGGAGCTTGATAACTGAAAGCTCTGCCTCCCATTCTACTTTTAGAAACTCAAGGAACCACAAGTAAACCTGCAGTCTGAGAGCGAAGTGCTCTGTTAGGAAAGTATGGAACAATAAGACCTTTGAAATAAGATGGAGCTTGGTTGTTGACAGTTTGTTTATACACAATTTTCCAGACTCTTCCCTTTATTTTTTGCAATACTCAGTTATTCACAAATAATTTAATGAATTTTTATAAGCTCAACAGCAAATGCAGCTGAACCACTTTCAAAGACACACAGATCAGAGATTCAACTCTATTGTTTGCTGTTACATCTGATCTCAGGGATGTAATGCTGATGCACGTGAACAGCCTGCAGCTGAACACTGCTTTTGTTTGGACTCGACTTTTCTTTCCAAACTTGATAGAATTATGCAAATATGGCATGCTTGAAGGGTCTTATTTCCATTATTATTTTTTTAAAGTTGCAATGTCACAGCAGGACTTTTACCCAAAGAGATTATTTTAATACCAAAAAGGCGCTTATACTTGTTTACAGAGCATGCGATGTTCCAAAGTGAAATATTAACACCGACTTAAAATCAGGGTAAAATTGTTATTCCAAAAATAATTCATTCAAGGCAGAGGCTCCAAATACACCATGCAGGAAATTCCTCCAAAAGCTGTGAACATGGGTCAATAGATGTGGGAGTGACCCATCACCTACAGCACGTATATTTTGAGGAGGAGGAGGGCAAAAAAAGGATTCCAAATACTGCTTGAAAAAAAAATCTGAGGTCATCTTTAAATTAGCCAATTAAATTAAAGATTAAATGAAAAGAGGGGCAAGTCATGCAAAGCAACCAAGAAACAGTTTGGAAAAAGTAAAAAATCAAATTAAACATCCTGGTAAACATTGATTTTTAGACAAAGGTTATCACACCAATGCTCAAGATAATTTATTATAGAGTATACCATCATTGCAATAATGTTGAATTTTTCATGTCTTTACAGGTTCAGGTCTAAAGAACATGGCTATAATAAATAATAATAATTAAAAACCTGGTTTAAACCAAAGACTTATCATAACACTAGACCATCTGTCCCTGGATACTTAAGAGCTCCTACATCTTAGGTGTTTTTTATTATTATTATTTTACCAACCTAAAGTAATTAAAGTCTGTTTTTTTATAAGGAAAGGACAAGATTTAAAACTTGTTGCATTGAAATAAAGTCAGATTAAACTCTGACATTTTTCTAAGAATACCAAAGTAAAAGTCAGAATCATGAAAATAAACTACATGTATTGTGGCTTAAATCCTCATCTGAAATTGTTAAGTTCTATGATACTTTTACACATTAATGTTTCTCTGATTCCCTTCATTTATTTAGAAACTTGGGAACCGTCTTCTTATTTTTAAAGTTTGGCCCATGAGTCACTGCTAACAAAGAGTAATGACATGAGNGTGCGTGTGGTCGCTGGGGGGACTCTCCCAGTTCTCCCCTATGGTCTGATCTGGGGGGTGGGTGGGCGGATCTTCCCGTGCGGGTGCTCCTTGGGGCTCTGCGCTCGGGATYCCTCTCRGGCCCTTGGGCTCTGGTCTTCCCTATGTCTGCCTCGTGTCTTGGGGGTTGGGTCTCCGATCCTCCACAGTCACTATTAAATTTTCCATTGGAGAAATCTTGTATATACTACATGTTCACAACCGCTCACAGACAAGTGTTCTGATCCGGGGGGTTCTGACTGATCACTGTGTGTGTATATATGTCTGTGTGTATATACTGACAATATTTATGAATGTAGGCATGTCTGTATGTATATCTTTATATATGTATGGGGTATGTGTATATTTTTATATATGCCCTCCATGTATTTATCCATTTATTTTTCAGGTGAGCGGACAGATGTTGGGTGTGTGGTCCTGTGTTTTGTTGGTGTATATTTAATATATTTCTAATCGCTATTTCAGTCTTTCTATCTCTCTAATCACTTCTTTCTCTGTTTGTCTCTCTGTCTCTATTTTCTCTTCACTTGAAAAAAAGTCACTGATGATGAAGAAATAAATAAACTAAATAAACTAATATTTGGTTTCGTTTTCTACTGAAGTGACAAAAAAAAAGCATATATTCTGGTTCAGTTCTTCATCTCATCGCTGGTTCATTGTTTGGTCTTCCTATCTACTGTTTGATGTTCCTCGTAGTCTCCCTGTGTTTAGAGTTGTTTGCTGCCTCGACGGCTTTTTGTTTTATTTTTGTTAAAATAAATATTTTATTTAAAAACTTTACTCTTTGCCTGGAATTGGGTTCGTTCCACCACTGCATCATAACACCATAACCTGTCTTATTTGAGTTTAGAAGCAGAAAATTAAGAGTCATCCATGTTTTTATGTGGTTAAGGCATGCTTGTAGTTTAAGTAACTGGTTGGATTCATCAGGTTTCATGGATAAATATAACTGAGTAACCAGACATTAAACAGGATGAGTTTTCTTTTTCCCATCATGACTGTGTTTGCAGCATGTGGTGCAGTCTCAAAAGACAGTGTTGTGTGTTTCAGACAATCTGCAGAAATTCTGGCTGATCTCTCCCAGCGGAGGTTCACTCACATCCTGAATGCTGCTCACAGTAAACGAAATGGGCAGCCAGAAATGTACGAAGGAATGAACATCACCTACATGGGCATCGAGGCTCGGGACTCCTGGGACTACGACATGAGCGTCAACTTCCACGCGGCAGCAGACTTTATCCACAGGGCGCTGAGCAGAGGAGGTAAGACAGGAGATGGAGAGGTAGAAAAATTATTCAAAATCAAAATCTTATGTTTCTCTTGGATTTTCAGGCAAAGTTCTGGTGCATTGTCATGTGGGAGTCAGTCGCTCGGCCACCTTGGTTCTGGCTTACCTGATGCTGAGGGAGAACCTTCCTCTCGTGGAAGCCATCTGTGCTGTGAAAAATAACCGGGGGGTGATCCCAAATCGAGGTTTCCTTCGACAGCTCATCAAACTGGACGGACAGCTTTTCGGCAAACATCACTAAACCTGATTTATGAGTGGGCTTGAAAGAAAAAAAGTGTCAGGGACGTTCCTCATCATCTATTTTGGTTGAGTAGAGATTCTATCATTAGAAAAAAATGATAATAGCAAACTGTTTGTGTTTAAGATGCTGCTTATTGGTTAACTTATTTCTGTGTGTGCACAAAGATCTCTGTATATTTTTCATGTGCTAACGCTCAAACATTATCAGGGTCGTGCACAGATAGACGTCAGGTGGTGCTTTGGCACCTGCCCTTTTCCCTCCAGACCAGAGGTGCCCAAAGTGGGGCCTGCGGGCCAAATTTGGCCAGCCAAGCCATTTGATTTGGCCTACCAGCAGTTACAGTATCCTGGTTACTAGGTTGTAATCGCCTGTCTTGTGTAGAAATACTATATTTGCACTTAGTCTTTTCAAACATTGGTCCAACTATATGTACAAGGAGCTGTAGTCAGATAGTCTTAACTTATGGTGCTCACTTTATCTTTGAATTTTGTTAAGATTAAACTTAAAATACAAGTAACTTCAAGAGATATTTACCTGAGATTTAAATCCATATCTAGATTTGCACACCTTGTAAGATCACATATACTCAAATTTTAAATTGTGAAAAGTCCCATGAGCATTTTCTGCCCGAGCATACGTTGAATTTTCTCCATGTCCAAGGGCTGAAAAAAACAAACAAATAAGAAAATGTGGGCAACCGCACTGGCTGCTGGCTTAATCATAAAAAATACAACTTTACTTGAAATATTTGCATCTCGTGTATTATATTATTGCATTTGGCCCACCACCCTCAGATTGATTTTAATTTTGACCCTTTCAGGGAAAATGGTTTTGAATCTTGGCCCTCTCAGGGAAAATGTTTAGGCCCCCCTGCTCCAGACCATCAAGTGCCCCTGTCGAACCGCTTTTTTATGCTCCATCTGTCGCCAATGGTTGCACTTCTTATTAAGTGTACAACTACAATGGCAACAGTATTAATATTATTAATATTGCCCTCGCACCCTTCATTCACCACACGTGCGCACGCAAACTGTACCCGTAGCAATCCTGTGCGCTGTCCCTCAGTGAACGCGCTGCGCGCTCGGACAGGAGAGCTGCAGAAGCAGCTCCTCTCTCTTCTCTCATCCACACAACAGAGGACAGTTATCAGCATGTAATTTACCTACAGCCCCAGGCAAACTGTGCGGGACTGTCTCACATGTTTCAGTCTCGTCCCGGCGTCGCGCAAGTTGAAACAAATTCCCACATTTGATTGATCAAATTATAACAAGACAGAAAAAGAAGAAAAAAAAGAAAGGGAAACAATCGACAGACGTTTTTTATTGGCTGCAGTTTACAACCATTAGAAAATGCCTCCTTATTTCTCTCTGCCTTCTGTGCAGAAGGAGGAGGAGAGAAGAGAAAAAGGCATAAGGCAAAGACGCAGCGGCTGCCAATCAAACGTGCAGGACACGTGTTAAAAATAAATATCTAAACACGTGAAAGAAAATGGATTTTATTTATGCAGAATGTGATGGAAACTATGTCAAAAATGCAGCAAAATAACAACTGGAAAATAGGTGAGGAAAGTGAAAGATGATTCTCAGAGAGAAAATTGTCAAAGTTTTTTTTTTTTTTCCTGAAGGGAAACACACCGTGAAGCAACTGTCTGTAAGAGATTCACACAAGAAACTTACAGTTCAGAAAGCTGCCTGTCAGTCTGTGGACAGACAACAGCACAGATCATCTGACCTGCTTATGGT